TTTATATACCATTAGCATGTGTTTTGTCTGTACACAAAGTCTGCAATTTATAACTGAACCATTCAATGTCTCTTCATCTGGATCTGTAGAATTGGGCTTTGATGGTATCAGTCTGAACAGTATGGATGCCACAGGCCAGAGGGACTTTGTTGGTATGTAAACACGTCAGTCTTAAGTGGAAACAATACTGAACATCTGTTTAAGTTTTCTTGTCTCATGGTTAATATGTTTACATATATATTTGTGTTTCTTTAGTGGAATTCTTGTTCTGGGCTTCGTTGTGTTTGACTCATCTCAGTAAGATGGCGGAGGACTTGATGCTGTACAGCACGAAGGAGTTCTCCTTCATCACCCTCTCCGATGCCTATAGGTCAGTTTGTATTTTAGTATGTGGTTATAAATTACGGTATCCTGCACATGTTCTCAAGACGGACAAACTTTTGACTGAGTCACTGTTTTGTGGCTCTGTACAAAGCTTCCTGTGTGAATGACAACAAGTCATTAAAGTATAGTAAATATTTATTTTTAAAGAATGCTGAGGTAGGGGCGCTGATGGCCTATCTGTTGGGTCGTGGGCAAATGTACAGAGGCTGTAGTCCTTCAAGTGGATGACATGGGTCAGAGTCCAGAGTCCATACAGCAATGTAATTTGATAACATTTGATCAGAGCAGCTGATTAAATATGCCGATGTAAGTGTTTCACAGATGTATCATTTGACATGTTTTTCACTACTCTATTTTTAAATAAAACATGTAATGCAGAAAACAACGAAAGGGGATATTCAGCAATGGTGTCTTGACGTCATTTATCCAGCAGAGTGCGCTCTAACTCCATATATACAAAACATGTAGCAGAACATGGGAGTGAGGCCGACTTTTTTTTGCAGTAGAGTTCATTAACAATGAAGTAATAAAAAAACAGCATTGTGTGTGTGTGTGTGTGTGTGTGTGTGTTTGTGTTTGTAGCACAGGCAGCAGTCTGATGCCTCAGAAGAAGAACGCTGACAGTCTGGAGCTGATCAGGAGTAAAGCAGGTCGTGTCTTTGGCAGCGTAAGAAGTCTCCATAAAGAGTCACTTTTCTTTTTTTCTTTTTTAAATGAACTGATGATCTGTTGATTAAAAGGCAGATTTTCCAGATAATGTTTCACCTCAAACCTTTCATTTGGTCAGATAATGAAAGAAAATGCACACGTCAAACTAACAGTTATCCTGAAATGGCTTTTATTTAGACTTTAAAAGAAATTCAGATTCTGATATAATTGCAGCAAACTTATCATAACAAAGATCACATTCCCTATAAACTGTTCCTGTTCATGAAAAATGTCCGTAAGAAGTTTCAGTCCTTCTATGATCTGATAAAGCTTGTTTTTAGGATTATCAGCGCCCTCATATGCATAAACAGAGCACCTGCTTATCACAGATTCCAACCTGGCAACACACAGTTACAAAGAGCTTTACCCATGTACCTTTCTGTACATGAGTTATGTATGTACATCACAAGTGTTCTTTCTGTGCTTTGACATACTGTACTGTGTTTTTTTTGTCTGTAGTATGTCTGTCTTTTTGCAGTTTCTTGTCAAACTGAAGTTGTTGAATTATTATATATTTTTTCATATTTCAGTGTGCAGGGTTCATGATGACACTGAAGGGTCTGCCCAGCACCTACAACAAAGACCTGCAGGTTATAAATTGTCTCTTTGCTTTCACCTGATAAGGAACATTTATTTGATTTGTGGATATTCATTTCCAACTTTTGTTCAACACTGTTTTCTGGCGTCCTTCCTCAGGAGGATAAGGAGGCCATGTTTGACTGCTACGACACTGTTGATGCTGTGCTGCAGGTCACAACTGGGGTCATGTCAACTCTAAAGGTCAGAGATTAAATGAACTATTTATACTTAAAAAATAAAACAGCACCTGGTCTATAATGTGAAAATATGACTTTGAAAAGGTTCTGATTGGTTGCCTTTATTTTATACAAAACTCCTGAACTGTTAATGTCTTGTGTTTGTGTTTCAAAACAAATGGTGCCATTGTCTTTTTTACGGATACATGAAGGAATTTCACATCAAGATTGCACACAATATTCTAACCTGTCGATGCTTGAAGGTTTGGTTCCATTGGATGAAAACGAGTGAATTTCTTATTCTTACTTTGGTTTGAGTGTCAGTCTAAACTAAAAGACTGAAAGTAGAAGTTGTTCAGGAGGAAGATGTTTTACTGAAAATAGAGGTAAAGGCTTATTTTTATTTCTGAGACTTTTATAGGACTTATACTGATGTGTTAATACTGAGGTGGATCGATTTGTGATCAGTGGTTCAAAACAAGTGTTTTCACCCTTTACTCCGTGTGTAAAAATGTTAAAAGAACTGAAGTGCTTTTACGTTACCTGTCACATTCACACATACAAACCACAGTCACACACTGATGACAGAGGATGCTTTGTAGAGCGCCCTTCATTACAATCACATTCACACACATTCACATGCCTCTGGATGTTCCATTGGCAACACTTTGGGGTTCAGTGTCTTAACCAAGGACCATGCAACGTTCGGACTGCAGGAGTTGGGTTTGCACTACCAGAATTATGTCTGAAGGAAAACCAACTCTACCACTGTCCCACAATATGACCTTGTACCAAACTCAAAAAACCAAATGGCTAAGATCTCGTTCGTTGTTTCAGATCAACCAGAGCGTGATGGAGGCAGCCCTCAGTCCTGACATGTTGGCGACTGACCTTGCCTACTACCTTGTGAGGAAGGGGGTGAGTCATGTTTCAAAGTTTCTGAAAATAGTAACTTAAAAAAAATAGACCCTATATAGGACTTTGATTTAAAATACAATAGAAGTCAGTGCAGTTTAAATCAGCAGAATACAGTAAATCAAGAGTGGCAGTTATGTTTTCGTACAAAACGATTGACCATTAATAAATGATTAACAATTACATTAAATTTAGCATTTATTAACCTCTGCAAAATATTTGAGCAGAAGTGCAAAAACAGATGGATTGAAGAAAGTCCTTCTTATGTCATGTCATACAAGAACACTGAAAATGTACTTTTTTCATTTATTTGTGTCACAACTTTAACCTGTGTTATTTCTATGTTGCAGATGCCCTTCAGAGACGCTCATGGTGTCTCTGGTAAAGCTGTGTTTGCAGCTGAATCCAAAAATATCGCCCTCAATCAACTCACTGTGGAAGACCTGCGTGCTCTATGGTGACTTTCTTCTGTCTCTTCTCGTAGACACGCACACATGAAACCTAAAAGCCTAAACCTCATATTATTACCTTGTTTTCCATGCAGGTTCAGTAGAACTGTAGTTTCTTTAAGGAGGAATGCTGACTCATACTTTCCTCTCACTTTCTCTCCTTTGTGTCTCTTCTGTCATTTCAGCCCTCTGTTTGAGAGTGACGTCTCCTCAGTGTGGGACTACAGGAGCAGTGTGGAGCAGTACAGCGCCCCCGGAGGCACAGCCGAGAGTAGTGTTGCTGCTCAGGTTGAACACCTGAGGAACTGGATGAAGGAACAGACCCAGTGACACCTCACATTTCAGAATCAAGTTTACTCCTGAAATTACGACAAATCTTAAATTTGAGCTTAGTTTGAAAACCTTGTTGCCTTTGAAAAACTCTCTGATTCTTGTGCACATCTCTGTATTTAGCAAAGGGATGTTTGGATTGTTAATTCATCCGTCATGTCACAAACTTCTTGGCTAATGCAAAGAAAATAAATGTTATTCAAAGAGTTGTTACATCCTGATTCATTAGGTCTGACTTATTTACATCACAAACATTCATACAGTGTTGGAGGTCTTCTAGCTTAAAGACAAACACACTGAAGTTAGTGGGCTGCAGAGTTCAGGGAAGAGAAACCCCGTAAAATGTACAGTTAATTTAATCTCAATCCAACGGTGAGCTGAACACAATGTTATCCAAAAAAGTCAAGTTAAAGAACATTTATTTTTTCAAAAGTCAAAGTTTTAAAATGTACACAGAAAATCAGTATCAGGTTTTATAGAAGTTAAAATCAACAAGTATAATTCATAAAAGAAGACTACTGTTGCATCCCATATATAATATCATAAGTTATTCTACATTCATGTGATTTTATGTGTTTGTTGCATATCTGGCAGTATATATCACCATAGTTTTAATTTGTTAATGTTGGTTGTATACAAAGCAACCCATTGGGCATTGAAAAGGGTTTATATACATCAAAGACTCATTTGGTTTACCAATGGTTTGAAGTCCTAACAAGACATGCATTATTACATTCTATTTAACTTTGGTTTCCAGTGACAACAAAATAAAAAATAAAAAAAGAGATCTTAACTTGTTTATCTGATTATCTTGGGATAACAATGCTAGTTTTCCTGTAGTGACGACTTAATTTCAGCCATTTTCTGGAGATCTTGAGAACTTAATCAGTTATCGTGGGAAAACAAGCGCTGCTGTTATCCCAACATAATAATTTGTTAATGTTGGTTGTATACAAAGCAACCCATTGGGCATTGAAAAGGGTTTATATACATCAAAGACTCATTTGGTTTACCAATGGTTTGAAGTCCTAACAAGACATGCATTATTACATTCTATTTAACTTTGGTTTCCAGTGACAACAAAATAAAAAAAAAAAAAAAAGATCTTAACTTATTTATCTGATTATCTTGGGATAACAACGCTAGTTTTCCCGTAGTGACGACTTAATTTCAGCCATTTTCTGGAGATCTTGAGAACTTAATCAGTTATCGTGGGAAAACAAGCGCTGCTGTTATCCCAACATAACGAGATAAAAAAATTGTAGACTTGAAAGCAACAAAAATGACTTATTATATCGGGAAAAATAAGTAAAATAAGATCTATGGACGTGTGTCCGCTTAAGGCTCCTGTACCCACGACTAAACAAAAGTATAGCTTCTAAGATCAATCGTCTGAACAAAAGACAAGAATAAAAATACATGACAACTACATAGGAATCAGCAGGTAATAAAAAGGAAATCAGCAAATCTAAAATTTATTGACATGGTGATAACATGAAGAATGTACTTCTTGAGAACTAAAGGAAGAATTATTAACATAAACACCCAATTTCCCAACATGTTGCCGGAAAACAAACCTCCATTGTAGGCCGAGTTTTCGTATCGCTGAGCTCGACAGGTGGTCTAGAAATCAAACATGATCATTACAGTTTGTCTACATACTAGAGGAGTGTTAGCATGCTGACAGCTGTGTCAGGCTTTACTTCGACACCTTGGGCTAAATGCTAACAGCATGCTGACAAGCTCCCAATGACAATGTCATCATAAAGATCATGTTAACATTTTCACTATTAAGTGTGTTAGCCTGCTGACATTTGCTAAAGAGCACTAAATACAAAGCAACGCTGATGAAGAAAATGTTATTATCTTGGCAGGTTTGGTCACCATCCAATAGTCATTAAGATATTTCAAGAAATAAAGTTAACTAACTTCTTTTAGTGATTTCACTTCATGGTTGTGAGAAAACAGCTAAAAGGCATACACACATTTAATTTGCACAATAACTTGTCATTATCAGTGTCAAATAATTTTGAGGATTGTGCACTATAACAGACGTCATTTTGTTCAATGAATAACCATACACATAATGAATAGATTATTGCTTCATCACCTCTAAGTGGAGTTTTACTCTTAAATCAGGTGTTACATGCAGTCAGTGTATCAGACCGTTGTCCAGAGCATGACTGAGAAAACACACACCCACAGGTGGCTCACACTTGTCAGCGCTGCACTGGCCTTGGACCTGTACACAACTCTGCCGTCCAGAGGCTGCGTAGGTCTGAAGATCTCTGTCATGGGCTGACCTGTCCAGAACCGACACTGCCGAGTGATCGCATCCAGCTGAAGAGGAGAGGGGAAGAAAGAGTGAGTGATTGAGTGGCTGGAAATAGGAAAAAAAAAAAAACCTGTACAGCTTAAACAGAGCTCAAGGCTCTTCTTTCTCCACATTGCTCCTTAAAAAAGAAGACACAACATTCAACCTTTATCTACTCAGAAAATAATATGGTTTATTTATCCAATGGGCTTTAAAAATCACTGTACCACACTTTTCTAGACTAATTGAATTAATTATTTAAAAACCTCAAATGCTTTGAATGTCGATATCCTCTTTTTCAAAGTCAGTTTGAAAGTTCAAGATAATGATGTTTAGAAGCAATATTTTATCCTCCCTTCTCAGAATTCAGAACAAGGAAGAGTTTTTCATCATCGAGCCACCCCAGAGCCTTCAAACCGTCACCTGTCTGCTGCTGATGGACAGGGTCTTGTGAAACACTGTCCAGGCCACCGCCTGTTCACACCCTGGAGTTGTCATGGAGCCCACGTAGCGGTAATAACTGTGGAGCTCCTTCGCTGATGGGATGAATTCACTGAGTCGAAAGTTTGGGATCACTGTGCTGCTGCCTAAATACAAGAAGAAGGGAGAGGTGTTTGTAAAGTGCAAACTATGCAAAAGTTTAATATAAGGACTCCTCAAAATGCTAATCTTAAAGGCCCTCATTAAAAAAAGTGATCATGTCATTTTTTGTGTTGACATTTAAGAAACAAATATCATACCATTGTTCTGTACACGGCCCAAAGCAGCTATCACTGTGTCCAAATGAGGATGATCATCTGTTGTTTCCTGAGAAGAATAAATAGTAAATGTTATACCATAAGCCTACGAAGAGATCTTTTTTATTTATTGAAAATAAGTAATGAAGATGAATGATTGTCAGTGACTTACCTCAAACAGGAAGGCAAGCAGTGCGATACCAGCCATGTCATGTTCTGCCTCTGCCAGAGAGCCGTATGGCTCCTTGATGTGGACTATATGCAGCTGGAAACCCCGAAACACAGCAGAATGAGTTATAGCAGACAATCACAAACAAGTAAAAATGAATTGGTCCAAATTAAATTAAAAGAAATATTCCAAGGCCACCAAAACTTAAATCACACTTATTACAATAATCAACACTTCAGTGTAAAATTCAAAATTTCCCAATGTATATTTATATTTAATTTAATATTTAATATTATTATTTCACAGAAATAATTCCATTGGATAGTGGTCAATCCAAACTATGCAACAGCCTACACAAAACAATTTGTCAAGTAACAAAATAAGTGCAAATAGTAAATAAATAAAAAAACAATACAATGGAGTTTTCATGGAAATCTGAGTCAGGTCTGCGGTCAATGTTTATTTTCATGGACATTTCTGTCAGGTCCATGGTCATTGTATTTTCATTTAAAAATTTAAGTCAGGTCCAAGGTCATCGATTTTTCAAGAAAATTTGAGTCAGGTCCACGGCTAACATTTCTCTATTAAAATTTCTGTCAGGTCTGCGGTAATTGTTTTTTAATTGAAAAATTTGAGTCAAGTCTGTGGTCATTGTTTTTTAAAAGAAATTTACATCATGTCTGTGGCCAACATTTTCTCATGTTATGTCATGTTTAAGACAATGTGTTGTAACAATCTGGAGGAATTCATGCCACATTTTAAGTTAAAGGTGCACTATGTAGATTTGGTAGTGAAATTTGAAAGTTGGAGAAGTGAAACAATTCTCTGCTCTATTTTATGAACTAAGTACACAAACTTTATTCAGAGGAAAAAATGGGTCCCTGGAACATTGTTTGGAACTAAAAAGCTACCAGGAGAATTACGGTTTCACTGTTGCGGGCCCCCCACCATAACTTCTCGCAGTAGCATTTTATCGTCAAACAGTTTTCCAGGAACCAAATTTTCCTCTGAGGGCAGTTTGTGTATAGAGTTATGAACATATACCACATAATCTTTACATTTCACTGACTTTCACAATTTCTCTAACAAAACTCCATGGTGCACCTTTAAACAACAAATTTAAAATCTGTTAATTTACACTTTTCCTAAAGTACCTTGTAACCCTACAAAACAGTGATTTTAGGCAGCAGTTTCCAAGCAATCAGTATAAGTAGGCAGCTAAATGTTAACTTTAGTTGTTAAAGCTACCACTTAAAACCCACACCACTGGAATACAATAGCACAACATTAAAGCAGCATTGGAGCTTCCTACCCTGAGCAAGATACTGTGAATGGCAGATCCTAATCGGCCATTCCTGTTTTCCAAACCAACAACAAATATACTGGCTACTTGCTGAGTACATACCTCCATGGGGAACCTCTCTCCGTCTATGGTGTGCTCTGATCCTGGCCTCCCGTTTCCTCCCCAGTGGAAGTGAAACTGGGCTGCTCTGTAGAGACCAGGCAGAGCTCCTCCAGTCAATCTCACTGACTGTGGCAGACCAAAATGAGCTACAAAGAGGAGATAGCTACAGCATCTTAGAATTAATAGAAAACTATAAAAAAACAAACAAACAAACCAGACGTATTCAGCATCTGGAAAGAAACTGTGAAGGGAAATATGATATTTAACTGGACTCTTCATTACCAGAGTGTCCTTTGTTTTCCACTGTGATGTTGATTGTGTTGGTGTGACCGATGAAGTCGAAGGGTGGCAGGGCGCTGTTGACATGCACGTTATTGGTGACAATGTTAATGGGTGACTGGCGTAATCCTCCACAGCTGGGAAACTGAGCTGCCCAGCGGCTAGGATCTAAACAACACAAACAGCGGCAAGAAACATTGTGATTTTTCTCATGCTAATTAAGAGTTTGAGGGTCCAAACCCCTTTAATGTACCTGGGCTGGCTGATACTTTGTATGTAAACTTTCTATAAGAGTACAACGTTTACCAGTTTACCCATTGTCTTGTAAAAAGTATAGTAGCCTACTGGTATCCTGCTGAAAAAGGACACTGTCCAGCTGACATTTTTTCCCAGCAATGGTTTTGGTGTAATTTAAAATGGTCGTCTTTAAAACTTAACAGAAAATAACTTAGATGTGAGCAATAATGTCTGTGTGAATTACTTTAATTCAAAGGAAATGGTGAATGTTTCTGGAGGCTGCTAAAACGATGATGAAAATGTCATTTGGTAAGTACCAGGGCTTGAGACTTCTGACTGGAGGTGGGGTGAGTGAAAGAAGTTGCAACATGAAAACAATGCACAAACACACACATGCACACACTGCACATTGCATTTTGACTCATTGACACTAAATATGTTTTTATGTTTTGAGTATTTAACTATTCTTTGTGAGATCCATTCTCTTTATTTAATTAATATGTCTCTTTCATGGATGCTTGTGTTTTTATTGCACGTCCTTGAAAAACAATCCTTGTTTTTCACTGCCCATCTGTATGAGCATGTGACAGATACAAATCTTAAATCCATTTTCACATTTTTTGAAACTTGACTAAAGTAGAGGAGGAGCAGGCCGCAATGATTTTGGCCACTGTTTACTGAAACAGTCTCAGCTGTTCTAAGATACAAATAGGGTGAGCTCCAGTGGTTCTCAGCTTAAAATGCAATTTTATAAACAGGTATGTGTTGATGGGATAAAGCAGTTTAAAATGACTGAAAGAGTGCAGATCAGTGTTTGACTCCTTTTTGGACTCTAACAATGAAGTGAACTTACTAACTAAAAGTTTGTGATGTTGCCAATATGTTTTCATTTCTTCTGTCTTGTCTCTTTAAAGGTGCAGCAGTGTATCCTCGTGGTCTTACCTCTGCATGTGTCATCACAGGAGTACTGGCTCTGGTAACACCACTGAGCTGCAGAGAGAGAGAGAGAGAGAGAGAGAGAGAGAGAGAGAGCGAGAGAGAGAGAGAGAGAGAGAGAGAGAGCGAGAGAGAGAGAGAGAGAGAGAATTCAGCACTGAGAACAGACACTGTATATTCTTATTCAGGACACCTCTCCCCTGTGTCAAACAACAACATGGCTTTTAAAAGTTAATAAAAGAGTATGTATACCTACAGTGTTTTCCACTAGCTGGTCCTCTAATGTGTCTTACTCTGCAGCTGAACTTGAGACTTGTGAAAACACTTTTCCTCTGACATTAGCCCGGATAATTATTAATAGATTACCAATCATGTCCTTCAGCTGCACTTTATGAGTTCACAAGTTAAATATCAATCCTAACCAGACGTTACCCTACAGGGGTAACATACATCTCTGGATATGAGATTTATGTTCCTTAAACTTCTTGTAAAAGAAATATATTTATTTTCTGGATTTATTATTTTGATGCTTCTAAACTTGTTGGTAAAGTTGAACATTATGCCGTCATAGATTTTCACATTGTCTCCACATCAAAGCTGTTCCTGCTTTTTTGCATGAAGTTCTGCGTTAAAAACATTTAATGTAAATCAATGTTTCTGAAAATAGTAACTTAAAAAAATAGACACTATATAGGACTTTGATTTAAAATACAATAGAAGTCAGTGCAGTTTAAATCAGCAGAATACAGTAAATCAAGAGTGGCAGTTATATTTTCGTACAAAACGATTGACCATTAATAAATGATTAACAATTACATTAAATTTAGCATTTATTAACCTCTGCAAAATATTTGAGCAGAAATGCAAAAACAGATGGATTGAAGAAAGTCCTTCTTATGTCATGTCATACAAGAACACTGAAAATGTACTTTTTTCATTTATTTGTGTCACAACTTTAGCCTGTGTTATTTTTATGTTGCAGATGCCCTTCAGAGAAGCTCATGGTGTCTCTGGTAAAGCTGTGTTTGCAGCTGAATCCAAAAATATCGCCCTCAGTCAACTCACTGTGGAAGACCTGAGTGCTCTAAGGTGACTTTCTTCTGTCTGTTCTCATAGACACGCACACATGAAACCTAAAAGCCTAAACCTCATATTATTACCTTGTTTTCCATGCAGGTTCAGTATCAGGATAATTATTAATAGATTACCAATCATGTCCTTCAGCTGCACTTTTTGTGTTCATAAGTTAAATATCAATCCTTTAATAGCACTCATAAGAACCAGACATTACCCTAAAGGGGTAACATACATCTCTGGATATGAGATTTATGTTCCTTAAACTTCTTGTAAAAGAAAATGATTTTTTTATTTTATTTATTATTTTGATGCTCCTAAACTTGTTGGTAAAGTTGAACATTATGCTGTCATGGATTTTCACATTGTCTCCACATCAAAGCTGTTCCTGCTTTTTTGCATGAAGTTCTGCGTTAAAAACATTTAATGTAAATCATCTGAACAGAAAATGTTGTTCAGATAAAAGGAAATAAATCATGGCATCTTTATTGGATGCATTTAAAGACTTATGGCCTAAGTCCATTACCAAATAGGCTTTTGATATAATCAATTAATTCAAAAGTTATTCATTTCGTTATCTTTTTTCTTGTGTCACAAGCATACCTGGGTTCCTTTAAGCCATTTAAAAAAAGTAGGATATTACTACGCTTTACTTAATTTAATGCTCAACCTTGATGTTAATGGAAATGTCTGATAAAAATAATTTGATGAGTTGTGAGTGATAATGTTTGTGCAATAAATGTCTGCTTGTTTATGACAGTTTCTTTCCATAGGAGCTCAGCTGTACTTACTTATTGATTTTGTTTTTTCACTACCAATGCCAAAAAGCAAAGAGTCCATTAGCCATCATCCATCAGATACTGTATAAATCTAAAGGCCTCAGGCTGATCAGACCTGATCAAACAGACATATTGATAGGCCTGGATCTGAAAAAGATGCAGCCATGATCATAATGCCTTTTAGATCAATGATCAGTGAACAGTTGTAGGTTATATAAAGAGATACTGTACTGATTTGTATTTTTTCAGACTTATTTTGATTACACTGATTTCATTCAGTATTAAGTAAATCATCAGATAATTAAATAATTATCTGAAACTTGATCTGGCCCTGCACTGCTGCATTGAACATGTCCAGCCAACAGGTGTTGATAATATTACTTAGTTGTGTATTGTGTTGCTGATGTGTGAGAAACTCCGGTGTCTGACTCCACAGTGGGAATGAAGGGTGCTAAACAGAACCATTTAGCTAATATAGGAAAGAGGATTAACCCACAATGCCGTTCTTTGAAAGGGGACAACAGTTCTCACCAACTGAGAACAATGCACAGGTGGATGTTGGCTTTGGTCCACCTGGCTTGGACATCTGTGGGCCAAACTGAGCAGCACGACAAAGTCAAACATAAAACAACCAGTAACGAAACAACCCAAAACCAATATAAACAGATGAAGCCCTGTGGGCGAAACGTGTTGTTTGTGGTATTGTAGTATTTAGATTAAATAAAAAGAAGTGTACGGTGAATCTATCCATTTTCTGCCAAATATCAACAGCTTTACCTTTATTTTCCTTTCATAATCACCATAGATAGAATGTATTGCTTCAATGAGTTGTCGCCAACTCTTAAAATAATAGTTTTCTAAAAATAAATAAAATATTCATCTTAAAAAGGTTTTAAAGCTGGAGCTGTATTTAGTATTGGCCTATTGAGGGGTTTTCTAGATACTTGTTCTGCTAGCAGCAGTAGCATGTGGTAATGTTTTAGATCCCAGGCATGAGTCAGCATTTTCAAACGGGCTCAAAAATCCATATTTCTTCATGAATGGGGGTTTAGCTCGAAGCCTTAAAAAAAGTTTTTTGTTTTTTGTTTTATGTGTTCTACCCAATCTTGTGTTCTGAAGTTTTATTGGTATGTAAAAAGGTGGTTGCTAGCTTGTGGCTAAAAAAGACTGGCAGTGTTAGCTCTGTTGTTCTTGAGATTATGTTATGTTTTTAAATAAATCATAAAGATAGTTTTGTTTGAGTCATTTTTCTCAACAAAATATAATGGGGTAGTCATGACTTGTATTTGTAACATATGGATATTACTGGTTGCTAGCATATGGCTAAGTGGTGATGCAGCTTATTTTGCCTTACACTGGCTTTTTAGTTTTTGCGATTGCATTTTTCTTAAATGGCTGTGTGTAATTTTCAACAAAAATGTAGTGTCAATAGCTTCTTAACAATATTTGTTGGAATATACCAAAATACTGTGGGAAAATCCCATTGATCCAAGGCAACCAGGGCAATGCTAACTTCCTGGAGTGCTGACAGAAACACATCATTTATGCAACAGTTTATTGATTTGACTGACATTGGTGCATCAATTGCATACCTTTTTAACTCTTCTGTGTACTCTGTCTTAAGTAATTCATATACAACAAAAGTTACGTTTAACTTTAGAGCAAAGCAGTGTCTTCATGAAACTCTTCAAAGATTATCTTGATTAGCAACTAATTTGCTAATTGTTTTGTTTTTAGGGAAATGTTCAAGTCATAAAATTAAGAGTAGATTACGCACTCAAATAGTGCTTTTGGTTGTTTTTCCTCTTGAAAAAAAAATGATATACTGTTTACTTTAGACTGCTTCTCTGACAAAACACCATTGATTTTTACCAGAAGATTTTACCACTGACATTCACTGATATGTTTTTAAGTTATACGAACTATGAAGACTAATAGATATATGTATAGTATATGTGTATATACGTGTATATGGTGTGACAAAACAAAAATATGCATAACATGTATCCCCAATAGAAAACCCTCATCACAGCTTGAATGCGTCCAACATTTGTGACCAGTTCATCCAAAACTAATGCATTCAACATTATATTGTTTTTTTTAATTTCAGAAATAAGACTGAATCTGTCAAGTAAAGCTTACTTTGGGACCCAGTACCTTTTGTGTTTCTTGTGATCCCACTCTCGTGCCAGGTTGAGAATCATATCATTTTCAAACTTTATATATTTTTGGTAACTGTGACCTCTTAATTCAATGCTCTAAACATTGCTTTATTTTATTGTAATGAGCCACTAGCTCTGCAACATGATACTTTTAATGTCTACTGAAATAAAAAAAATATACACAAAATTAGAAATATCACAATTAAAAGACAATGTGAAAAGGTGAAAATAAGGATCAGAAAACTTAACCCAAGCAAACATAGCTTTTAATTTTCTTTGTACCATGTGTGTGTGTGTGTGTGTGTGTGTCCTACCTGTGCACGGTGAGATGAGAGAAAGCAGAGTCAGGAGGTAGACAGAAAAATCCATTATCAGCAGAGACCACAGACAATATTGATAGACTTATTTCAGCTGCCTTCACATGCTGACTCTGAACTGCGTTTGAGGGGTGGGAGGGAGACTATCATAATTATGACAAAGGGTGTGTGTGTCTTTGTGGGTGTCACAAGAGCATTTAAAGTCACTCTGCCATAACTGAGTTGTCCAGTTTATTAACAATGAAAGACGGACACCTGGTGGCAAAGTCAGATACTGTGGTGTTATTTCCACTTAGTATCCTGTGTCCTATACCCAAAGGCCAACATCTTCTTCCTTTACCAAATTAAAAGCTTTTTGACAAACCCAATGAAAGTAAAATTCATCACAATATAAAATATAATATAAAACCTGTGTATAGGTTTTATTTGTACTTACAATATGGAATATACATAAAAATGTATGTGTCTCCAGAGCGTGGCTAAGTGTAAGGTCTCACAAACTGACACGATGATGATCTTCACTGTTGGTTTGATAGACTGCACATTTGAAAAGAAACAAATCTGAAGGTGTAGCGTTTGAAAGTCAAGTGACTCTCATAGCCTGCTCATCATCTCTTTTTTGGGGGCTAACAACTGGAGGCTGCTTTAGCTGCTACAAGCTTAACACTCACTATTTCTTTTCCCCAGTAGAATACTATCTGATAACTCTGTAGTGAGAGCTGCATTAAGTGAGTCAGTTTCAATGTGCTTTCTATTCCTGGTGTACTGCACTATACTGCCCTACAAAGGCAAAAGACCTTAACCCGCCAGAGTGTAGAACTGAGAAAAATGACTTTAAAGTATTTTTGTTGTCCGGCCAAATGAGTTGCAGGCAGAATATTGGAAATGTGTTTTTAATGAGGTTATTAATGTTCATAAAAATCTTTAGTACAAAGGCAAAGACCCTGATGAGGGAAGTTACTGGACTCTGCCTTGGTTTCTTGAGGGCTTTTGGAAGTTAAGGCAAATACAACCTACTATTTTCTCAAAGAAAAACAACACAATTGACTCAAGATATCTGTCCTCATAATAAAGCACATCTGTAATGTTCCAAAAATGACAAAAATTATTTTTGAAAAAATTGAAGTTACTGCCTTTTGCCTTTGTAGGGCAGTATAGTGTAACTTGAATAAAGATAACATCTGATACGAGTAGAAATTTATTAGAACATTAATCCAACATAGAAATTCATATAAATTAAGTCAGTCAACAATTAATTACAAATGACTTCATGTCAAAATTTCAAAACATTTAGCATTTTGTTGAGATAAAAGATTTTTTTTTTTTTAATTCTTCAGTTGTTAGAGGCATTTGGTGGTTAAGAGGCATTAAATACAAACATCCTTCACATGATCCTGATTGATTCCCATCCGCTAAACATGGACTCAAGAAGTCTTAGACACAGACTGAGACATACATATTTTCTTCATCTCAAACAAAAAAACAAACAAACAAAAGCTTGGACGGAAATGATCGAGCCTTAAGGTGAAGTAAATGAAATAGAATGGACAGAAGACTGACTGCAGGTAACCCCTACATAATAAAAATAGTGTGATAGTCTAAATAAACTGCAGGCTAGATAGATTTAACTTCATTACTGTACATCTTACAGTAGCTATGTTACTTCGATTTGTTTCTTCATTTAACATATTCATTGCAAAATCAAGTGTTATAGTGTGTATTTCATAACGTATTTAATAAATATTTTTAAGAATGCAAATCTGATCTAACGGGTTAAACTGGAACGTAGGAATGCTGAATAAAATATAAGATCCATACATTGGAAAAAAACAATTACTTTCATGTAAATCAGATGCTTTCTCCAGTGAGCTGAAACTTCTTCTGACACATTTTGGAAATGTTGAATGGACCTTCAGGAATTACAGCCACCTAGTGCGGGTCTGATTAAAACAGAAACTTGCTGATAAAAAGGTCTGTCATTCATGCTGCTCTTCTCTCTCTGGTCCTCAGGGGGAAAGAAATGACAGGCTTGTCTTGGGATGTAGCAGGATGTCTTCAAAGGAGATAATTCTAAAAAAAAAACAAAGATGTGTCAGAGTAACATGAACACTTCTCACACATACGGAAATCTCCTGAAAAACTAAGCAGATTTGGTTATCCGGAGGGGCTTTAGGCTATGTGTGAACGCAAACAGCTGCATTTTTCGCACGGACTTTACCTGGAGTTTATCCGGCCAGACCCCTAGTATTTTATCCACAGAATATCCGAGTGAGCTGATGTCTGAACGCAGCAGCATATACTCCGGAGATTTCAACTCGGGCCAATAGAAAGAGAATGACGTTTATATACAGTGACCGGCTAAAGTGTCTGCACGTCCATTGGACTACATATAGCATTGATATAAAGGCAAATATTCTCATTCTCATTTAGCGGACTATGTCCGCTAAATGACGTTGTTTATTTACGTCACGTCTTACCTCAGGAAATCCCCCTCCCCTCTGACATGGATATTCCCCCGCTGTGAGGAGCATATGTGAACGGCTAGGTCGGGAGAATCTCCGGATCGATCCTTATTAATTATCTAGATATTATCCGGAGCGCATATGTGAAAACGGCTATATTGCTCCTTTTAGTATTGTAACCAAGAGAAAACCATAAAGTCTCCAAGACTTAGCTTTATTTCCCAAAATTATATTCTTTATTGTTACTTTAATTATTATTTTTCTTTTTAAAGTCATATTTTGGGGCATTTTGCCTATTATTAGACAGGAGAGCTGAAAACAGGAAATGCTGGGAGAAGAGAGTGGGGGGATGACAGGCAGCAAAGGTCCGTGGTTGGATTCCGCTGTGATGATAACCACTGCCTCTGTACATGTGGTCCGCAACATAAATGCTAGGCTATTAGACGCCCAATTATAATTCTTCTTCTCCTCTTGTTACAGAGCCATTTTTAAGCCTGCCTTTCTATTGTCTTTATGACAAGGACAATAAAAATGTACGTGATGTTATACTTTGGAGACACTGGTGGCGTAGTGGTTAGTGCACGCCCTGATGCTTTTCTGACTCTCTCTTTCTCTGTAGCTCACCTGAAGCACAACAGCAGCCACCACAGCAAAGACGGCTAACAGAGCCATCCGCCCCAGCCAGCCCAGGTTTACATTCTTCAGGATGAAGAAGCGAGCCCAGCCCAGTTTCTTGAGTGTGTGAGGCGGGTAGCGCATGCTGTTCACCCCTTCCATCTTCAGCTGCTTGATGAGACAACCTCGCAGGTGGCTCAGCTGGTCGAAGCTGAACTTGCCGTGGTAGCAACCCATACCGCTGTTCCCTTTTTTGAAAGGAGCAAAAGATGTTTGGACTGTGTTAACGTGTACTGGCTTCAAATTGGATGGCCTTTAATCAACACAATAAGCCAATTACACAGAGAATATTGTCCCTTACAATGTTGTATTGTTGCTATATCCCCAATCTTTAATTCATTTTCAAAGATAGTGTTGCATCAGAACAGTTGAAAACAGGAACTGTGTGAAAAGTTAGATATTCTGAAGTAATTGTTTCTTTTTCCTACTTCTTTTAAAATGGGGGCATAATTTACATCAATTTCCAATCGATAAAATGGGGGGGGGGCTTGAATGTTATTGTCTAATGTAAACTCATAAAAATAGGCTTAACTTCTAATATACCTGTTTTCAACATGACTTCCTTTTCAACAAGTCGAGTTCCCTCTGCTGGCCATCAGAAAGAATGCAGGTCTGAAACACTTTCAGATTGCCTTCACTTTTTAGACCCAGAGACCCCTCCCCCCCTGTAAAATGGACCGCCTTAAAGAGCGGCTCTTAGCTTTAATTTCTTCAAAGTATTGTCCTTTTGTGTACTCACCCACTCCTCCGAAAGGCAGAGCGCTGACAGAAAAGTGCACCAGACAGTCGTTGGCCAGCAGTCCTCCACTGGAGGTCTCGTCTGTCATTCTCTTTATCACCTTTAGAGAGAAAGAGAGGGTTTGCGTCATGACTCTTTGAGTGTGAATGAACATACTGCACATGTAAGGGTCTGCATAACTATTTTCTCCTGATTGTTTGTAGTATCTGTTGTTGGATACCTTGTTGTCTGATGAGAACACATACAGGGCCAGAGGTTTCTCTCCGTTATTAATAACTTTGATTGCCTCGTCCAGGCCACTGACTGGTAAGATGGGAAGCAGAGGTCCAAATATCTCCTCCTGCATTACCTTCGCCTCCGGCTTCACATCCCGCAAGACTGTGGGGGCTAAACACAGCACATACACACTATTTACCAAACACGTTATTCCAGCTTATTCATGATTTAATGCAACTGTCAAAATATAAACCACAAAAAAGTACAGTATTACCTATGTAGCAATCTGACTCATCATTGTCTCCTCCTACAGCCACAGTGCTGTCCTCCAACATGGTGACAATCCTCTTGAAGTGGCGCTGGTTGATGATGCGTCCATAGTCTGCGCAGGTCTTTGGGTTGTCTGTGTAGAACTCCTGCCAGAGGATAAAATCTCATTATGTCCCATGTAGTCTTATAAAATCCAGCCAAAATACCAAGTCGTGTGAAGAAATACTTTTAAGGTTCTTTGAGGAGTTTTTTCACTGGTTATGAAACAAAGTGAAATAAATATTAACGCACCTTTATGACCTACACAAACAAACATCAGAACATCAAGTAGAGACTGTGTCATCAAGGTTTACCCTTGCGTCGTTATCTTTTCTTGTCTTATTTGGTCATTCTTACCTGTTGTTGCTTGTTTCTCTTGTCTGTACCTTTATTCTATTAATTCCAAGTTTAGTTCTTTAAGTTTTCCTTTTTTTGTTTGTCTTGTTCCTCCCTTGTGTTGCTTTATCCCTGTGTTCATTTTTCTGTTCACATTCCTGGCCTAAGGTTTCAGTGTTTCCTGTTTTATTTTGTAGTTTTGACCCTGTTCATCATGCCTCGTGTTACTTCCTCCATTTGTGTATTCCCCTCCCTTTTTGATTGCCTGCACCTGTTTCACCTGTGTCCAGTCACTGGAAGTCTATTTAGGGTCTATGTGCTTTCACGTTCTTGTCAGTTTGACACATTTCAACCTCTGTGTGACTCCTTGATTTTTGGGTTGTCTTACCTCCC